AAAGATGGCCACGAGGCCCCGAGAGAAGCATCTCCCCAAAGCTCCTCATTAAGTCTGGGGCTTCGGGTTTAGGGTTCAAGGTGTTGCGTGTGGGGTGTAGTATGTAGGCTTTAGGGTGATGTTGCCATGAACGGAAAGCCCTAGCTATGGAAGAGATTCCTGATACTTAGTACCCGCAGCACTGTTCCATCGATTGCTACCATGCACCGCAGAAGCCCTCCGTGGGGAAGCTACGACAGACCATCAGTAGAAGCCGTTGTGAAGATAGTCTGAGGAGTACTGAGCAAAAGAAGGCCGTCTCAAAAAAGCCAAGTACGACCGAAGCGATCCCTGCAAGAATTCACCACAGGCCCTTAACCCAAGGGTGCCAGCAGCACCTGCTCTGGAGGCCATCGGAATGACTACAATGAGCGCGCTGGATACGACAGCTGTCGGGTCCCCTGTGAGGTTGCTTTTAGCGTTCATGGGGCTGTTCACATAAAGCTGACCATCCTGATTTTAACTATTAGCCTCTTTCTCTCTTGTCTCCCCTAGACCCTAAGCCCTACACTTTCTAAGGTGGCGCAAGTCAAGCACCTCACCGGCGGCAAGGACGCCGCTGACGTGGCTGCCTGGGCGCACAAGGCTCCAAACCCTGCGGGCAGAGGGCCGGTGACGACGAGGTGTCAGCGACATAGAGGCCATAATAGTTACCTATGCTATTCTGGGAGTTCCTTATTATATTTATAGTATCATGGGCCCCGAAACCCTATTCTAATGATTAAGGCCCCTATACTATTTATGAGTAGTGCCCCCATGTAGTCCCTGTATAACTACATTGAAATATGCCTTGTTCATTCAAGGGAAATCGCACACGACACTTCCAAGGTTCAAGGTTGCAGCTGGTAGTCGCTTAGCGCGTTTTGGGTCGGGTTCGGTTTGGAGTTCAAGGGTCGGCTGCAAGCTCATGTAGATTTTTTGTGTTGTAGGTGCGGGACAGAGCGGACGCTAGGGTATTCCGACATACTCAAAGCTGGACGTGTTTAAGGGGGGCCAACATGGATTCTCTGATACTGGACGTACAGCGCAGTGGAGTATGAGGAAGCCCTACATCAGTTAAGCCCTTGAACCTCAAACCCCTACGATCGTAAACCCAATACCCTAAACCCTAAACTCATAGGGATCCTTAGGGGTGTAGGGGGAGGGGGGGTAGGGGGCCTTAAGGCCCATAATAAGGACTAATAAGGCCTATTTAAGGAAATATAGTCCCCTACACCCCTCCCCCCTACACCCCTAAGGATCCCTATGAAAACCCTAAACCCCCAAGAGCAGCCAGGTCAACAAGAAGTACCCTTGGACGACCGAGCTTCACTTCCAGCGGCAGCCCAGTGAGAGGCGCAACGGAAGTTTGGGGTTCCGGGGTCAAGGCTTAGGGTTTCGGGTTTCAAGGAATCCCGTGGGACATAGAATCATTTAGGCCTTTACAGTAATGTGTGTTTAGGTGGTATCTCACAAGATGGAGCCGACCCTGGCAAGGCGTGCTTTGTACGCTTTTTGGGGCTGCGTTGTTTTTTGGGGGATCCGTTTAGGGGGAGTCCTTGCAGTGAGGATGATGCGCTCATCTCGGGGGTTTATTTGGGGCCTCGAGTCTCAGAGGTTGAGTTCTGAGCAGGTCAGTTAGGGCTGTAGAATTAGAGCCCCCCAACTGTTCATCATCTGAGACTTTAGGGGTTTTTGGATATGTGAGGCCCTCTACGGAGAGCTTTGAGGCAGGAAGCTCCAACCATTGACCTTACGTAAATCCTAGGGTCCTAGATCCTAAACCCTAGACCTTGAAATCACCTGTCTCGAAGAAGGTCCGTGGCGGTTGTGCAACTGTTGTGGAGCTCTGTAGCAGAAGCCTGTAAGCGACCGGCACCACGAATTCAGGTGCGAAAAGGCAAACTTCACCAACTGCGCAGACAATAGGCTTGGCTTCGGGCTGTGATTTTATTCTGGCTTCGTGCCTGTGCTTATGATGCATCGCATCTTGTGTTTTGCGGCAAAGTGGTGGTGTTGCTTTCGGGTTCAGAAGTTTGGCGTACTTAAGGGCTTCAGGGTGCTTGTTTGACGACACGTCACGGTTTTTTGTTTCCGGTAGTTTGCGATTTTGAAGCGCAGGTCAACAAGCCTTCGACCTAAAACCCTGAATCAAGCCCTGCAGCAGTTTCCCTGCTTGCCCGAAAACACTCTCAATGCCAGCAGCCCAATGTTGTCTTTCTTAGGGTTGCTGGTGACATTTTTTTACGCATACCATACCATACTATACTAAACTGTACCATACTATACCATCCATGCTTTATACTATATTATCCTATACTATACTATACTATATTGTGCCGTCGGACAATAGCATTTTGGAAATTTCGGGCCGTCTCATTTTAGGTGTAGGGTGTTGGGCTATAGGTTTGAGATTCTTGCCTCCACAAAACGCCGCAAGTACAAGGGCCCTTCGTGATTGTTGCGCTTCCAACAGTTTAGAACCGCATGGTCTCAAGGAAGAGGAGACGAAGTTCTGAACCCGAAACCCTGGGCCCCAAAGCCTAAACCCTGAGCTCGGAACTCAAGCGAGCTAGGCACCGCCCAGAACGACTGCAGTCTGCCATGCTCCGGGCAGGCCATAGGACTGAAGACCAAAACCCGGAGCCTGCGCCGTAAGGACTAGAACCCTATCCTGGGCTCCTATGAGGACTCCTATGCTGAACCTGAAGTGCTACGCTCCGGGCCACAAGCCAGAGAATGTTGAAGAATGTCGTCGTTTGCTTTGTAGACCAGGGTTCGGTACGGCAGCAAAAGTCCCCAAACCCTGAAACCCAATCCCCCCAAACTCCTAAACACGTTAAACCCTAAGCCCCGAAGCCCCCAAACCCTACTCCCCTAAACCCCAAAGCCTTAATCTAAAGCCGAAGCCCCAAAGCGAGGTGCATGGTGAAAGGAATCCTGTATTTCTATGGTCGCCTCACAGGCTCTCGCTTTGGGGGCCGAAGGGTTTGGTTTGGGGGATTAGGGTGCCTAGGGTTAAGGCGGCTAGGGGCTTAGGGGTTTAGGGGTGTAGGGGCTTAGGGGTTTAGGTTTCGGGCGTAGGATGAAGGGTCTAGGGGTTTAGTTTAGGGTCTGGGTTTGAGGTTGAGGGGTTTCTTGTTTTAGGGTTTGGAGGTTTGGAGGTTTGGATATTTAGGGTTTGAGGTTTTGATTCTGATGTTTCTTACCGCCCTGCTTGCAGGGCCTCCCTGGTTTGGTAGTTTCTTGATCTTAGCTTACTTCGGGCTGCAGGACCTGCTCTTGTCTTTGGGATTGAGGGCTTCTGGTTGTCGCTATGGAAGGAGCTACTTTTCGATCCCCCCCAGGCCCTAGGCATGTTTGCCCTGAACTAGAGGCTCCATCATGGGCTGAGCTCATGGTAATGACAGTCGTCATCATCATCATCGTCATCGCCGTCGCCATCGTAGTTCTAGGCAGACTTGCTGAAAAGCCCAGCCAGCACAGCCAAGCGATGTCGGGTTTAGGCTTTAGGATTCAGGGTGGTCATTTCTTGAGGGCTTACGTACATCTAGCCCTCGATCTGTAGCAGTTCTCTCTCAAAGACGAGACGCACAGCTGATTACCTCTGCTGCTCCGGACGTCCAAGACAAACCGCTTTCTCGGAAAATACCGGCTGCAACGGCGCAAGAGCTTCTTCTTTCGCTTGCGGCATGTTGCTTTAGGCCATGAGTCCCTCAGCACCCGAAGCCCGAATTTGTAGACCTCCCTTCAGTTCTTTAATGAGGATCCCGACTGTAAGTCAAGAAAGCTTTCTGCGGTGAGAACTGCGTTCTCCGACTCAAAATGGTTGTAAGCATGCAATCTGACAAGGATTAGTCTAGAGAATTTGGTTTTGGAGTATATTATATGTTAAGCATAAGAGGGAACCCCAAAATCATATTGGTATTATTTAGGCCCATAGTCGTTGGGCCCTTGTTAAGATTACAGATTTTCCGCAAGAGGAGCCGGACAAAAGTATGAGAAGCAAAGATCCAGCTTCGGGTTTGGGGCCAGGTTGACGAGCCATGAGACCCCCCGGCCACCCCACGTAGAGCCCCCCCATATATGGTCTAGCAGAATGCGCTCACTTGCGATGTCGGATTCCCAATCCCGACGTCGACATCTACGTGGGAGCTTAGAAAACGAGAGATCCTAGTGTGAGATAAGCAAAGGGCCCCTGACTGAGGTACCCTAGACCCTTAACCTACACCCCTACAACCCTTCCGGCCCAAACGATGGACCCTTAAACCGTAAACCCAAAACCATTCCCTAAAACCCTAAACTCTAAGCCCTGAACCCTGTTTACTTATTAAACCCCATTCTTAAGAGACCGCTACCTCAAGATGCCCACAGGTAAGGACCTGGTGGAGCTCAAGTGGCCCGGCTCTCGGCATCCCAAAGCCCAAAACCGGGGTTCTTCTGGAGTACCACACTCAAGCACTTTTTTCGGAACCTGTTCCCAAAGGAGCTACTATGAAGTCAAAGTGTATACATTTTTTCGTCGTTGGTTGCTTCAAAGGCCAAAACCCGAAAGCCCAAGCAATGCTGGCGGATTGGCTCGGAAATTCCAGACTTTCAAGAAAGTGCGCAGTACCAGTGGATTCAGACCCTAGAATGACGCGGATGAATGAGTCAAAGCCGACTATTTTGTGGGGCTTAGGACTAGAGAAGCGCGTGAACCCTGAAACCCACGGATTTCTGATGCTATTTGGCGGCTTGGGGACCGAGTAACGCTGTAAACCCCAAACCATGCACCAGTAGCGTTAGCAGTATCAGCGTCGGTGGCAGCAGCAGCAGCAGCAGTCGCACCCTGAATCTCGACCCCGAAACCCAGTCATCCGTGATCCCTCAACCTCGAACCCCAAATCCAGCGGCCATGTCCCGAACGACCGGACCAGAGTCAGAGGCCTGATGGCGTCAAGCTCACGGATGCAGACTGCGTCAAGTACCTCATCAACTTGATGGGGGACAGAAGGGCTGCCAGGGTTATGGGTTCAAGGTTCAGTGGTCTTCAGTTCAAGGGCCTGGAGGAACGTGCTTGACATGTCAGGACTGTTAGGAGAGGTGCTCAAGCGCAGCAAGCACAATCACATCCTGACTTTAGGTTCAGGGGTCGGACTCGAGCTCTTAGGCCCCAAGGTCTGAAGTTACACATCGGAAGACCTGGAACCAGAGTCCCAATAATCCTAAACCCTGAAGACTCCTGAGCCAGGAACCCTAGAGCCCTGGCATCGAAAATCCTTTGTGACTAGCCGTCGGTGGCTCTACATGGGAGTTTTTGACTCAACGCCGGATCCGCTTCAGGAGGCTCTTGATTTTGAATGCGGGTTCCGTCCCTTGTTGCAAGGATTGAGTAGTGAGCAGTCTTCGCCAGACACGAAGTTAGTTGAGCGCCGCAGAGTCTGTGTTGCGCCATTCCCAGCTTTAGGATTGAGTTTCAGAGGTTCAATTTGAATGTGGACTTCGGCACACTCAGCAATAGTCTTACTACTAACCCCGTATAGTCCGCACACAAGCATACCAGAAAGCCTTGAAATCTCTTTATGGAGGTCCCGGTATCAGGGTTTGGCTACAACCCTTACTTGGCGCGGCCCCAGGGCCTGGAAAACAGGGGAGCTTTTTTTTACAACCAAGGAATCCACACGGAGTGCAGGGTTTAGGGTTTAGGGTTTAGGGTTTAGGGTTTAGGGCTTGAAGGTTTAGTGTTTGGGTTCAGTTCCCTGCAAGCCCAACACTCGATGTCCAAGTGTAGAAGGCAGTAAGTGGATGCATAGATACACAGCTATACCCCCCTCAACCGTCATGAATCCTAAGCAGCGACAGACCGCGTCATCACGCATAATATAGAAGCCTAAGAAGTCATCACCAAAATTGTTCGTCATCTAGGGCTCCTATAGTTACGTTATATGGAGGAACCCGAAACCCTATTCTAAATATTAAGGCCCCTCTACTGTTGACTCTTGACACAACACAGATCCATGGGGAGGACATGGCTCAGCCCATGCATTTCGGCACGGCAGAGACGGACATGGGTCGCAATATCACGGCGAGGATCTTGGGCTTCAGCTTTGTTTTTGTCGGTAGGTTGTGGGGTTTAGTGTTTTCGGGCTTGCGGGCTTAAGATTCAGGCTTCCGGTCGGTATGTGTTAAGTGTATCGGGGTTTCCGCTGATTTCGAGCTGACAGAGCTTAAGCTGCTGGGATTGGATATTTGTTGAAGCTTGCTGTGAAAGAGACATAAGCATAAAGCTTGAACCCTAAACCCTAAACCCTAAACCCTAAACCCTAAACCGTGAAGCCATAGGTTGCATGAAGCCTCGTACCATATCAAACCAAGCCCCCAACCCCCGAGTCCTAAGCCCTCGACCCGCAAGCCCAAACCAGAGCGCTACTAAATATGAAGCAGAGGCCGGAAGAGTTCCTAATATTATATATTCCTAGGGTGCCCTACTACAATACTACAATGCACCCCAACACCCTGTTTTGATTGTTAGGGTCCCTACGGTTTGTAAGGCGTTCGGATGGTTTTTTGTGGCATGGAGCCGAGGGCAGCGAGCTCTCCTTGCAGGGCGGTTCTTGGGTGAAGCTGAGCACGACAGCCCTTGTCCGCAAACCCTTGAGCCCTAAAAACTTCGAACCCCAAACCCTGACTGATGACAGTAAACTCCCAAGTCCTGAAATCGGAGGCCCCTACGATGCTAATCTTTTCAAAGCTCCTCAAACCCTGATTTGTCTGCAGAGCATCCGTAAGTTGCGACTATAACAGCTAGATGCCGAGCCCGCATAACTCAGCGAACCCCGAAGAAGCGATTTTGCCGCAACGAACTTGTAGGGGCCCCTTTAAAGTCTAGATCAGGGTTGATATGAGGATCTTAGAGGACTGTGACCGCTTGCATTGTGCCAAAATTTATGTGGACGCAGGGACTTGTTCTCCAAACGGCATGCACCTAGACCCTAAACCGTTTTGTCGTTGAGTGACAAGGCTAGTGCGAATGCATGAGAGCCATGAGTTGTCCTTGAAAGGTGCAGGGGATGTAGTCGCAGTAGATCAAGTAATACAGAAGCATCAATCTTTCGCTGTGTATACAGCGTCATCCTACAACACTCCATATCCCGTAAACCTTATTCGACAAAGCATGGGTCTACATTAAGTTATATTCAGTTCTGAGAGGCAGATGCTTGAGAGCCGTCGGTCGGCTCAGGTGCTCTTTCGCGGCAAGACAACGAACCTGTATGATGCTGGCAGCTAAGCACCACCTGAACGGAACCCTAAAGATCCTCGATTAAGGAATACCTAGGGTTCCTTTCAGGAATGTCTTTAAAGCATTTCTTATGTAAAGGGATCGCATCATCTTCGTACGGTTGTGAGCCGATCGGCTTCTTCAACAGACATCGCGAGCTTTGAAGAAGAAGAAGGTTGTTGCTGAGAGTTCTGGCCCGGAACCTCAAACTAAATCTTGAACCATGAGATCTCAAACGTTAAGTTCAAGACAACGGCCTTGGGAGAAAAACGGGAGGTTTCGGATCCAGAGTTTAGCCGTTCCTGGTCTATTGCACGGGGGTGTTGCAGGGATTTGTGTTTTGGGGTTGGAGGCTTCGGGACTGTTACGGTTTGGGGCTTGAGGGGTCGCGGGTTCAGGGTTGTATGTCTTGGGGGTCTGGTGGTAGAGGCGCGCTGGTTAAGGGCTTCTGTTGATGTTGAGGGTCAAAAGCCGTGACCCCCGACCCAGCAGAAGTCAGGTCGGAAAAGCCACGGCTTCGCAAACCCATGGCATTGGAACCCCTAGACTACGTTTGAGGTTTTCGGGTTTGAGGGCCCGAAGTGTTGAAGCTTGTCTACGGTCTAGTGATGATTGAGGGTAGCCCCAGGCAGGCACATTGCCCTCAAGGGTTAATGCCTGGGTGCTGTATATAATTGGATCTCCCCCAATCCTACGTTGCAATTGCAAAATCAGAGGACCGAGAAGCAGGTGGTCTATCCTAGCTTCTGGACCTTTTCAGCTGTCATTAAGATAGCTTGGAGGATCATGGGACTTGGTCAGTAGGGTTATAAGTACCCTAATTGGGGTTATAAGTAGATATAACTATGGTTACCTTACTTATATCCCTACTTTCCGAGTCCATGATCCTCTAAGAAGAGCCCTAGTGTTCAGGATCCAGATACGGCTCGCTCGTAGCGCTGGAACTTCGATCTTGGAGGACTCCACAGCTCCCAGCTCCCTTCCAGAGATTCAGTCATTCATAATGCACCCTCAAAGTTCCTATACAACTATAGACTATAGTAACTAGAGTGTTACTGTTATACATTCATAGTTACTACGTGATTATGGAATCATAATCACATAACGAAGCCCTAGGTCTGGGACAAGGAGCTCACGCAGGCAAGCGGGCTCGGTTTGGTGACGGGCCCAAAGCTGAAACTCCGAGGCCTCAACGTCCTCAGTCTCAAACTTAAAGGAAAATGAAGAAGCCAAAGCTTTAAACCCTGCGCCCAAATCCTTAAACCCGAAGCCCTGAACCCGAATTCCGCAAAATTCTGAACCCCAAAGCTCCGATTATGGTTAAAAAGAATTGAGTCGGGCGGGTCAGCGGCTGGGGACGACCAAGGAACCAACCTTGTTTGATTAGGTAGGTAGTTGGGCTTGTTTCTTGGGTCGGCATATATAGGGCTCCTGTGGAAGTTTGGTTGGGTGTCTTTATGGGGGATACCTGTGATGAGCGCCTTGCAGGGTCGCTTAGTCGAGCAGATGACCTTGAACCTTTCATTTCGAGCAGCAACCTATAGGTTGACAATCGCTTCCCCCAAAAGAAGCCTGGAGAAGAAAAGAACCCTAGCCTAGACCCTGAACCCTGCACGCTAAACTCTTAAGCCCAACCTCCATTCTGAGCTGCTCGATGCCCCTGTATTTGGAAGGTTGTTGGTAAGTAAGTCGACTGTTGGAAATAGGCTGAAATCGATCTCGAGCATCAAAACCTCGGGCTTAGACCTCGCACCTTCAAGCGTGAATTCAGGGGTCTTTTGAGCTGTATGCCGGGACTCCTCCTCGGCCCTGAGCTGCATGCGCAGGCCGTGATCAAAGACTCCCCGGGCTTCTGGTGGGGTGGATGGACACACGTGCAGCGGACACGTGTCGAGCTTCTCGGCCGAACTTTTGAGATGTCGAGGCAGCGAGGTCAGTGTGCAAGAGAGCTCGCAAGACGCAGGTTAAAGATGGAGACCTTCGACCCCTGTTTAAGCCTAAATCCTTGGCCCTATGAGCCGTCCTGAACCCGTACCATTTCGATTCTCCATAAGCAGCATCTGCAGGTACGAAAAGGACAGTGAGCAGTTCAAGCAGGTGGGATTCGCGATTTGGGGCACGTGGCGTTCTGGGCTCAGGGCTATCTAACCCTACATTGACCCTAAGCAACCTAGCTTCCAGGGTTCCTTATTAATTATGATTTCCTTGTATTTGTTCCGAAAAAGGTAGGGTTTTGCCGGGTCCAGGTAAGCCCTAAACCCAAACCCTCCCGCCCCACGCCCTTCAACAAAAACAAGATTTTTGCACCCGGCGTCCGACCAGACCCTCGACCCGGCACCACTAACACCCAAAATCCTAGTCCTTTAAAGTTTGGAGCCAAAGTTAGGCCAATGTGGGTCAGGGATGGGATATACAGTATTGGGGTATCATGGCACGCAATTTGAAAGCCTTTCTGCTCCGTTCCTGCAGGAGCACGAGACGCTTCTGAAAAGGTGGGCGGACGAATCTGCCAAGTTCATGTGCGAGAGTGTCTACAGGACAGGCTCTTCTTTGCCCCTCCATGCTGAAGTTCTTTATGCCGTAAGCCCTGCCACCCCTCAACCCTAAACTCCCACGCACTAAACCCTAAATGCTCTGCCCTAAACCCTAAACTTCGAACCGATAAGCCCTGCTCCCTGAAACCTCCCACCCGAGCAATCCGACGCCTTCGTGGGGCAAGGAATCCGGTGACTGGCAAGCAGATCTTAGATGAGCTGGACTCGAAGGGTGTGTTCAGGCCAGATCCAGGTTTAGGGTATTTTGATATTTGGGGTTGCTCTGAGGGTTACTGCCAGGGTTGCCACATGGGTATGTCTCAGGGTCTAAAATTTACTATAAGGGTTCTTTAGGGCCAGGGTTGGGTTTTAGGGCTTTGGGATTTTGGGGTCTGGCGTTCAAAGTTAAAGTGTTGATCGGAGCTTAGGGTTGTGTCTGTTTGTGCTCCAAGAGTTTACGGTTGACCCTAAACCCTAAACCTTATTTAATTCTTTTTGTTTGCAAGCTTCTATCATGAGTACGTATCACCAGGGACCACAAGATCCAGAACATCCTGAACCCCCCCCGAAGCCATAGTATTTCGGGGTGACTCTAAACCCTAGTTCAGCTTTTCATCCAACGTTTCCCAGAATCTCCGACGAGCTCTTCGAAGCCTGGAAGCGTGAGATGCTGTCGAAGATGCTCGCGCCGGCCTCGGTGCTTCGGGTTTAGGGTTCAGGGTTCTCACTCTAGGGTGTTCATATCTTGGGGCCTTTGGGAATTCTTGAATTTGAGAGTTGTTGTTGTCGTTTGTCGCTGTTGGGCTTGCTGCTGTTCGTCTAATATTGTTGTCGTCGGTGCACCACAAAAATTCTAAACTGCAAGCCCGAAACACAAAGCCTCCCACCAAATCCAAGCTCTAAGCACATCCTCCGCAAAGGGGTTTGACACAAGTACAGGTCTCAGACCGAGGGTTTATGATCCTTGGCCCTGGGTTTGTAGCAGTTCAGCTATCGGAGCGTAGTTTGTAATCGCCTGTGATCTTGCAGAATGTCGTTGGAGGTTGGAGAGGTCAGTCCCAAATTCAGAGTGTATATAGGGTTTACGAGCCCTGAACCTTAGACTTACGACCCCTGCTATCATTATACTCTTTTTACTACAAGTATTGCTATTCTTTTTATTCTTGCTGTTATGACGATTAATACTAGTATTGCAGAACAGGAGGCTGTGGGGCCTGCGTTTTGGCATTTTGGCAACCCACTATTTTCCTTGGTTTTGTATTAGTGGTATTACGATTACTACTGGTATGACGACTGTAGGTACTATTACCTTGTGCCGGGAATCTGGAACCATTAATGCTCGTTGCCCTGCTCATCTTGGGGGGGGGCAAGATGACGTCTTGCAATCTTGGTCATCTTGCCCCGCTTGCCCCAGGAGTTTACTGTTTGGACCCAGATGACCAAGATGACCGGTCAGGTTGCACCCCCTTGCAAGTGGGTATTACAAGTCTTGTTCGTGTTCTTGTTATAACCATTACTATTTTTAGTTTGTTTTTATTACGACTACTGGTATCAACCTTTTTTGGAGCTTTCGAGGTTTGGGGCTTTGACGATCTCCAGGTCGCAGGTGCCCGCACCGCCGTGGTGTTGAACTCGATCCTCCACCACCGGGAGGCCAACGGATTTCGATTGATAGATGTGCATATATATATATATATATGTACATATTTGTGTGTATATATATATGTATATGAATGAGATCAAGATCCCGACAAGTGTTTCATTCTGCAGGGTTTAGGGTAACAAGTTTTCGGTTTGGGGGTTTGAGGTTTGGGGTTTTAGGGCGGAGGGTCTGTTTTTAAGGCGTCCGTTTTGGGTCCAGAGCTGTGCGTTTAGAAGCCGCAGTGCGCCGCATGTCCTTCTCCAGGGCTTCTGCAGCATGGGTAGATTACGTATAGGGTTGAGGGTTCTAAACTCTAAATATTTTCGGGTCCTTTGTATACGGGTGCCGCACTATTTTGGGGATGTAAAAAAGGACCCGAATTTGGAGAACTATGCGACTCGCAATTTTCAGTCACCTCGTCTGCCTAGTCTAGCCGCTAAGTCCTAAGCGCTACTATACTATAGTATGCTATAACAAAGTATACTGAAATATGCTGTAACATCATATGCTAAATGCTATAGCATACTAAGCTTATTCATGGGGTGGAACTGTAGGTTTGAATCTTGGCTATTAAGAGTTGCTTTAGAATTACTCCGAGGCCTTCATGATGATTTCTGTGCATGCTTGCCCCGTCCTCGAGTGTTCTACGATTCAGGGGTGCGTGAGAAGGCATGTGGCCTCAGGGTTTTAACCTAACCCTGAAAACCCTAAACACATACCTGAAACCTCAAAGCCTCAGCACTAGACCCTAAACCCTAAGCGCAAAATCCGGACATCTTCGAGCACAAACCTGCAGGGCCAGCTAAAAGCTGGCACTGCGGTTAGTCACCTCGAGGGCGAAGAGGAGGAGGAGGCCAGCGAGATTGTATATACTCATATACAAATGCTATGTATATATATATATATATGTATACATATGCAAATAGGTATAGATAATTTGGAGAGTCTGTGGATAGGTTTTTGCTTCCAGTTTGGGAAAGTCTTTGCCTTTCTGTTGAATGAGGAGCAGGGTGCGGCGGGGAGCTGTTGAAGCAATCAAGGGCCTTCAGGGCTCTGCGTTTTCATGTATATGGGTTCAGGATTTCGATTTTAGTTTTTTTTTGGGGCTAAACCCAAAACCCTAAACCCTAAACCCTAAACCCTAAACCGTTTAAGGCTTAAAGCCGCTTTAGGGTCTTGATGGCCGGTGGGCCTTTCGGGTTGAGGGTTCTAGGGTCTGGGGCTTTGATGACCTTGAAGAGAGGTCACTTGTTTATGGTTCAGGTGTTGACAATTACAGGGAAAATCGTTGGGTTGGGGCTTGGGGCTCGCGCTTTGGGCTGCTTTGGCTTGCTGGTCTCGCTTTCCTAATCGTTGCAAGCTCTTTCTGAGGCTTCAAGTACCAGTCCTTATGATTTCGTAGTCACAGGTTCAGGTAGCGGACGGTTGGGTTCATGTGGCGGGGCAGAGTACGTAAGCTTAAGACTTTTTGTTTGAGGAAGACATCGTTAGCGAGTCAGCTTCCCATCTTCGGAGGGACCCCACGAGCAGACAAGGTTTAGGATTTAGGGTTCAGGGGTTTAGGGTTCGGAGTACAGTTGTGTGGCGACTGGCCGCACTTCATAGCAAAATGGGGTTTCTGAAGCATACATAGGGTTTCAAAATAAGAGTCTAGATTAGGAGCCTAAGTGTTTCGAGACTTGTAGCTTGTGGCTCTCTGGGCCCCGGCTGTCCTGAATTCGACAGATGCCTATCTGCTATTGCCCAGGCCTTTTTGGTCTAGTGCCACACATGTGATCTCGTATCCAGGTGTTGCATGCATCGCGGATGGTGGGTTGTGGATTCCAATCTCAGGTGTTGTGCTTTTCTTTTTCCGTACATGTGCAAGCGACTGTTGCCAGTGATGCGAAGGATTCCAGGTTCATCATGGAACATCTAAAGCCTAAGCCCTACGTAAAGCCCTACGCTAGCCCTATAACCGTTGGCCGTGTCCAAGCCCCAAGTGGGCGTGGCACATGGTAAGCTGAAGCAGCGAAAGGACTGAGCATACATTTTAATTTGTGGAAATGCCACAAAGAGGAGTAACAGGGCGGTAGACGATTGTCAAGCAGAGAACATCATGACTCAATTGTAAGTCTGCTCCATCGGGACCACCTTGCCTATCGCCTCAAACCCTGAACCCAGAGCACGCATGGTGCAAGGCGTTCGGGGTTTCGGCCAAAGGTACCTATATATGTTCTAGGGCATCGTGTAACTGCCATCCATACCGGCCCACGTCTGCTGCAGGAGTATGCGAAGGCTGCCGCCGCCGGGAGTGCTTGGCTTTCATATAGGTCGGAATACATGCCCCTTTGTGGTCCCTGAATCTAGCCGAAGTACATACCTCCCCCGACATGAGCCCTGTACCCGGAGCCTTTCTCTGGTAGCATCAGGAAATCCGACTCGCGGGTTTCGGTGCCAGGCTTAGGGTATTGGTCGTGCTTCATGTTTCAATCCCTAAACCCATTTTGGCTTCTTTTCTTCGTCAATCCGGAATCCTCCGATCTTTTCCTTTGCAATTCCCCAATGCTTAAGGCTTCAAGCCCCATCGCAAAACGCCATAAATACCGTGAGCCCATGCTGCCACAGCACCAAGGAGCAGCAGCACATCAATTCCCCTGTGTATTCTCTTGCAGATTAGAAAGCCTCGCGTACTCACATTGCGCAGTCTCCGTTCCTCCAAGAAGATTAGAAACGATTCACTCGGCCGAACTGTGGCCAAAGACGGTGGGGTGGTGGGTCTGAGTTTAGGGGTCTAGGGTTTACGATTTTGCTCAAGTGTTCAACTGTTTTGTTCGTACGAGGGGCAATCCTTAAGGGTTTGCAAAAGTGGTCTCTAGCTTCGGAGACTGATTGCGACGCAAACTTGCAAGATCTATCGCCCGCCCGCTCGCCCGCACGCCCGCCGACCTGCATGCCTGCATGTCCGCACGTCCGCCCTCACGCCCGCACGCCCACGCGCCCCCCGCACGTCCGCACGCCCGCACCCCCACCCACCCACCCACCCACCCCCCACCCGGGCCCAGCCCCGCCGCCCTGCCCCCCACCCCAAATGTCCTACAACGGCCAAGCCCTGTCCGGACAGGGCCCAGCCCCGAAGGGGCGCCGCGCAGACCTCCCAAGGACTCGGCATCTGCAGGCCGAGTTGACATAATATGTGCTACGGAGATTACATGGGTGGTTCTGCGGAAGACTTTGGGGTTGAGGGGTTTGGATGCCAGGTTTAGAGCTTTTGGGGTTTGGGGTTTTGGTTGGTTTAGGGTTAAGGGGTTTAAGGGTTTGGGGTGCGGTGTTCGGGGGGTTTGCGTGTTCAGGGTAAAAGGTTTTTTTTTGGGTTTGGGGCAAAAGAGATTTGAGCTGAAAGGGCTTTGTGGTTCCGGGGTTTCTGCAAGTATTTAGGGTTAATTAAAGAAGTTTGGGGTGTCTTGGCCTTTTGAGGGTCAGGCGTGCCTTGAGTTTTAAGGCTTCATAGTTTAGGTATTTGTGAGGGGCATCTTGAGTTTAATAGGGTACCGGTTCCGTCATGTAGGGTTTTGGGGCATAGCTCTACGGGGTTTCAGTGGCTTCAAAGTTTTTATCGTTTCCGGGTTTCGGGCTTCGGGGCTTGGGTTCCAAGGGCCATGGCTCAGGCTCCGCGACTTCAGCCTAGGGGCTGTCCTCGACCTGCGTTTGATGTGCGTCTCCGGGGGCCGGA